TTTAAAATTTACTCTGATATCATGAAATCTCCAAGTACACTCCAAATACAAGATCATGATTTCTATCTACAATCTATATCAATCTCGAAATGGCTAGCTTTTTAACTCGTCACTTCCCGTGGTTTCCCCGTCCTCGGTTTCACTTCCTGAAATGGTGGACAAGGAAAAACTATGAGATAAACTCAGTAAGTAAATATGGAGTGCCCTTAATTAAACTTATAGCATGCCAACAAGTGCAATCACGAAAAGCGGATACAATACGGGAACGAAATAGACGTCTCCTCTATAGGTCACGGCCAGTGTTATAAACCTCCCACTGGCAGGCACAAGATTTGCTGGTGTATAACCCCCACTAGCAGGGTCACTGAAACGAACCGGTTCTATCAATAACATGTCGACATGTGCTAGCGTTTATAAACCTCCCACTAGCGGGCACACGAATAACATGACCATATCGAAGACAAAACAGGCTGAAGTTAACAGAAAATCATACTTTACCAATCACTTTCAGATCATCAGGACAATCAATCAAATTTCAAGTAGGCATGCTCAATTTAATGAAAAGCATAAAACATTTCACTTCAAATCAGTCATGCTCGTGTAAAACGAGTTTAGTCCCGCCACCACTTCAAAAACAAATCAAAACATGCTTTTAAAATAGTACGGGCATTACCATAAATTTACTTACCTCACTTGCATAAAACCGAGCACTCAATTCACGTACTAACTGACAGAACGATCGGGAACCTAATCAAAATATCCACAATTAATACCGGGCTATCATAAATTCACACTGAACACTTCATTAGGATCATCCCCCAATCACAATGCTATTTCTATAAATCTCTACATTATCAAATATCTCCAAATTCGTTCTTATATCACAAACTAATCATTTAAATTCCCGTTAAATGTTGGCCCTCGGGGTGTGAACAGTAACCGGTTAACAGTGACCCCAACGTGAACAGTAACTCTACTTCCAAAATTGGCCAAAACACTAGCTAATCTCACGGGATTTCACTCCAAAAATCACAGCAATCAATTAACACTCAATCACATAAATTCCCACTTGAATTAAGCTAAATCATGGTCTAATTACTATCAATTTTCTCCCCTAATTAAACCAGAATTTCAGACACAAAGGGCAGCAATTAAATGGCTAAAACTTGGACTTAGAGAAGCTGCCACATACCAGAATTCTCCAGCTAAAACCGGAGCTGCAGGGGGGAAGAGGAAGCCGGCGGCAAGCTGCAAGGGAACTCACGGACTAGCCAAAAATTGGAGAACCAAAGTTAACCCAAGCTAAATCAAGCTAAAAGGATGGATTAATGGCTGTTTCTTACCAGAAAATCAAGGCAATTCGCACTCACAAGCAAGGAACAGCCGGCGGTGAGGAGCAGAGCAGCAGCAGATCCGGGTTTTCCAGCAGAGGGGGAGAGATTTCTGGGTTCTATATGGGTTCTAGAACAAGAAAGGAAGGGGAAAATACCAAGCTTCCTTACCAATTTTCCAAGGCATGGCTGGGTTCTCTTTCTTTTTTTCTTCAGGTGGCTGCAGCGGGAAGAAA